GTGACTGGGCACGTTTCAGAGCTGGCCAGAGGCCAAGGGCATTTCGACCGGGGATTGTCTGTTGTGTGACAGGCAGCAGATCTGAATTTCAGTAGCAGCTCAAGGCTATATGAAGGGTCATTCTGTGTGATCCCCAGCCGGTGTCGGGGGGGCGCAGCTGCACTGGAGTCAGTGAGGCCAGGGCCCAGCCGGTGTCAGGGCGGCGCAGCTGCACTGGAGTCATGTTCTCTCTCCGTCTCCAGGGGCCGGTCTGCGGTGTGAGGTTTGCGATGGATCAGGAACCACCTGCACGGGCGATCTAGATACCTGCCGAAATAGGGAAGACTCTTGTGGCATCACTGTGACAGAAGACACAGCGGGTAGGTGAGATGGACCCTACTCAACATGGGTCAGTGAAGATGGTGGGGATCCAGGATGCCTGGGTCCTCTCCTCGTCCCAGCTCTGGGAAGGGCGTGGGGTGGATGGGTCTGAGCAGCGGTTAAGGAGCCAGGACGCCTGGGTTCTATGCCACACCCTGTGGCTAGCTCCCCAACGGGGCCTTTGGCTTAGCACTGCGATGCCGAACCCCCAGGTGACTCGCCAGCCAGTGGGACGGGACCGGGCTCCCCGTTGGGTGCATGGGGAGAGGGAGGTGTCTGAGGATGGGATCCACAAAAGCCAGCCAATAGGAAATGCTGAGGAGAGGGGTGTGGCCTAAGCCCCGCCCCTCACCCTAAGTTCGGCCCTGAGTCCCGGCGGCACGGAGATGCCCAGCTCTGCTTGGGGTCCACAGCCGGGAACCCCTCACCAGGTCAGCCCTTCCTTGACTATGACGGCAGTGGAAGAGGGGCTGCCAGGAGACCCCAGCGGCTGGGCGCTCAGCTGGGCCATGGGGGAGCCAAGTGGGAGCCGAATTTGGCCGGGGTCTTCAGCCCAGATCTCTCCCCTCCTACGGTGGTGCCCGACCCCTTGGCCTCCGAGTGGGTCTCTCAGTCTGCCTTTTTGAAGTTGCCCCACATTGTATGAAATAGTTAAACATTCTCTGGACCCTGATTCCCCCACATCCATGGGGAGCATCCGACCCCCCGGGCTCTTGGGTATATGGGAGGCAACCCCCCTCCATCTCCTGCCCTGGCTGGGCTTTGTGCAGGGCCCGATCCATTGGTTGTGCTCTGAGGGCGTCCCCAGGATCAGGCCCCACAGGTGATATCGTCAGGGGAAGGCCTAGTCTGTGAATCCCGCCGTGGCTCAGGGGTGAGCGGGATGCATGGTGCTGGGGTTTGGGTGGCCCTGCACATACCCACTGGTAGAAACTTTGGCAACAAAAGGACTTTATGGGCAGGAGATTCGGGGCCCCCAGGGTTAGGCATCGGCTGAGTAGGCAGTTGGAGGATCTAAATGCTGGATTTTGCTCCTGAAATCGCTTTCTCTAGCCCTGCGGGACGTGGGGTGAGTCACTTTCCTCACTGTGTGCCTCAGTTTCCCGATGGGTAGAGGAAGGCTAATGGCACAGGGCCGTCGTTGTGAAGAGGGCGTCGATGGGGTGAGAGTGGAATGGGAATAAATCTCAGACTTCTCCTCCTGTGCAGCGGGAAGGAAGACCCAGAACGTTCTCAAGAGCTGTTTGTCACCCAGCCAATGTAAAGCTGGAGCCATCTCTATGAATTTTGGGACAGCAAAGGCCAGAAGGATGAGCATCACCTGCTGCCAGACAGACAGCTGCACACCGGACTCTGTTAAAGGTACATCTCCGCAGCTCCTCCCTCATCCCCTGCACCTCCTGATGCCTGGAACCTGCCCCACGTTAACTTCCGGAGCCTGGTCCTCCCACCCTGCAGGGGGCGCCCCATTGAATAACATTGAGCCCCTGGGTGGGTGGAGTTTAGTGGGCGGGGCTCTAGGCTGCCCCCAGGTGTGAACCCAGCTGACCCCACCCTGCTGCAAACCTCTCCCCTGCCCCTGCTGCCCCCGGCGTCCCCAGAGCTACAGCTCCCCCTGCAGGGGGCGCCCAGGGCTGAGCTGTGCAGCCCCCAGCTGCTCTCCCTGCCCCAACGCCGCCTGGGGCTCGTCCCCCGAGCTGACTGCGTTTGCTCCACTTCTTCCCAGTGCCCCCGGCTGACACCAAACCCAATGGCCGGCGCTGCCGTGGCTGCTACGCTCTGTCCTCTCAGCAGTGCCGTGAAGAGACCATACGGTGTACTGGAGCCGAGACCCAATGTTTGGACGTCGCCGGGCCCCTAAAATCTGGTAACATCCGTTCATTTATTCTGGGGGTATTTTTCCTCTGCTGTTTCCCCCCCGCGTAGAGCAGAAGTGAGACGCTGGGTGGAGGCCACTAGGGAAAGGTATCGGCTGCAGATCAGGACACCTGGGATCTGTTCCCAGCACTGGCCCCCGGTGTGACCTTGCGCCAGTGTCTCCCCCTCCCTGTTCCTCTGGTTCTCCTCCATCCGTTGCCTGTCTATAGTTCAGTCTCTGAGCTCTTCATGGTAGGGTCTGATATAGTATTGGGAGCCCCGTCATGCCTGGACTGCGCAGACCCCCAGGGAAGAAAAGGGACCCAGGCTGTGCTGGGGTCTAAAAACCCATAGGGAGATATAGTCTGTGCCCCAAAGAGCCTGCAATCTCTGTAGGCATAGTGGGGATCATTCTCCCCATTTAACAGATGGGGAAACAGAGGCACTGAGCAGTGCCGTGACTTGCCCAAGGTCACACCGGGAGGCTGTGGCAGGGCTCGGAACTGAGCCTAGATTTGCAAAGTCCCATCATGGTGCCTTAACTCACTATGAAGCCACCCTTCTTAGAGATCCCACTCCTGCCACCAACAGGGAGCTGCTGCTTTGTTAGATGAACTGTGGGGATAAAACAGGCATGAGCCAATCCAGGTGTTGTTTGTGGGACCTAGGTCGGGACTGCAAGTGACTTGTTCATGGACACACTGTGAGTCTGTGTCACATTAAAGGAGCAGGGGGAAGCCATCCAGGGCCAGACATGCTGGGGAGAGCAGAGGAGATGGGGAGATGGAGGCTGTG